TAATGAGTTATTATTAAAATTGATAGAGTTAATAATAAATTATTATTAATAATAATTTATTTAATGAAATAAAAAATAAAAACTTATTTTTAATTTTTAAATGGAAACAAACATAATATATCTTGATTTTTATATTCTTCTATTTCTATATCTATTTATATTTTTTTTATATCTATATTTTATTTATTTTAAATATACATTTTTTTAATATTTGGAACTATAAATATTGTTCAATTTCAAACGCAGGTTATGATTGTTAACAAATTTAATATTATTTCTATAATTAATTTCTATAGTTAAACTTATACAAGCAACATGGTAATTTGCTTGCGTTACAGTTCAAAATTTTTATAGTTTTTGTATCAGAATCGTAATGTTGTATCGTTCACTAGATTTTAAGTTATATATAACCATATAAAAACTATATATAAAACCATATACGTTACTATTCAATTGTGATCCATACGATCAAATGATCGTATTTTATTACAAAAATTATAAAATGCCGAATTGTCATTTTAATGCAAACTTGCAACAAGTGCTATATCACTTGTGTACATTTAGAATTCAACGCACATAAATGATGCGATGTGTAATGATTTTACACTAGTGATTTTATATGATTCAAAAAGTTTACACTATCTAATAACAGAATCTCTAGATTCTCTAAATTGCATAATTAAAAATATTTGTTGAATATCGTGATATCATTATTCACTTACAAAAATTTTAAATATATATATATATATATATATTTATATCTCATATATATATATATATATAAATGCACATGAATGTCTTATATGCAATATCTTATATTTTACAATCTCATAATGATAGTTGAAAATATATGTTTATAATTTTCATAGCGAAATAGCACGATCATATGATGTATCATGAAAAAATGTGTAACGTATTGCATCATTAAAAACATACTGCCAAATATACTGCCAAAACATAGCAGTATATCGTTCGTTTCTATCGAGTTTTATACTAACCGGTAGTAATAGAAATTTGGCAACTGCGCAAGGAACCTGAAACTAGCTTAGGATGCGTTTTGATAATTAAACTTTCAACATAAAATCTTATTCATATCATAGAAATTTTTTAAGTGCAAATAAATTAATTTTCATTTATGTTAAAACAATTTTACATAATTTTTCATTATTGTTTTAAATTTAGTTTTAAAACACGTTGCTTTTTAATTCTAAAAAAAATAGAAACTAAATATCAATAAAAAATCGAAAATGCCCTATCGATAAAAATGCATTATTTAATAATATATTAGCAATATATTTTACTAATAAATTTTAAATAATCTAAATCATATATTCAATTATATTCTCATACTATACTATATATTTCACTATTTTGTGTTTTTGTTCTTTAAAATTAAAGCTCTACTTTTTTCCCCAAGGTTAATTATCATCTAAATATTAAATTTATTTTATCTATCAAAGATATTTATATTTTTACAAAAATTTAATAACTTAATCAGTTTTAACAAAATTTAAATTTCTTTTTTTTTTTCATTATAGTTTCATTATAGACTGCTTTTAATATTTATTTAATATATATTATTTAATATTATTATTTAATAATATTAAAGTATTCAAATATATATATA